TCTTGCGGAAGAAGAAAATCCCCGCTTCACTTCTACTTCTGCCTACTATTAAACTGTAAGAAGCTACACAAAGGACGCCCATCAATCGTAATCCCTTGGCTACTTGGAACTACCCAGGGCTCTATCAAACTAGCAAAGTGGTTTACAGACTCCAAGTTCTACCAAGAAGTGTGTATNAAGCTACACAAAGGACGCCCATCAATCGCAATCCCTTGGCTACTTGGAACTACCCAGGGCTCTATCAAACTAGCAAAGTGGTTTACAGACTCCAAGTTCTACCAAGAAGTGTGTATATCACATACACAAAGCTCTCCTACCTTATAAGGGAGCCCTCAAAAGTCTACTAGTTTCCTTTTACTCTTCTCTTTACTATTCTCTCATTTACTTTATTCCATTATCAGAGGCGGACAGGGGCTAGGATCACAGGCTGGAGGATCATGCTGCAAAGAGGTGGCAGCACTACTGTTTTACTTCCTCAAGCGGACAAAACAACAGCTAAAGCGTACATGTAAACCCCGCTACAGCCTTTAAACTCTTATATAATCTAGCTAGCTAGACAGGAAGCCAGGGGCCTCCCCCCCCTGGCGTCTTTTGCCCCAACGGGGACTGAAGGGCACGTGACTTGCGTACGTGCCCGCCTAGACGTTAAATAGACACACACACACACACACACAGTCTAGCAGCGACCGAGCGACGAGTCTAGCAAGCTAGCACAAGAGAACGAAGGTTATATATAAGACTGGCACGTCTGCCATTAGATAGGAGCTTCGTGCTCAACTTAGTTATCAATCTTATCATATTAGTTTGACATCTTTGATACAAGTAACGAGTTCACTTCCAAGTGAACAACCCGATAGTCTTCTTCTTATCATAGCATACCAACCAGCGAACACCCAGCCAAGTTTAGTTAGCCAGTTTGAGTATTCGTTACACTTCTTACAAAGAGAGCTTCATAAATAGCTATTAAGCACTCTGTTCTAGGGCCGAACCAGTTCGGAGCCCTCCCTCTAAGAGCTGCTACAGACCTTACTACCTGCCTTACCTTTGACATTGAGAAGGCACTAGTAGACAAACAGGAGGCCTCCCTCCTTACGCTAGATATTAAGGGCGCCTTCGACGTAGTACTTTCTGGCCGCCTAATCAAGAGGTTGAGAGAGCAAGGATAGCCGCATAGCTTTGTAGCATGGGTCACCTCCTTCCTGACTAATAGATCTGTTAAAGTAAAGCCAGACGGAGAAACAGGAGTATCTACCCCTCTTTAATGTAGCCTGCCCCAGGGCTCGCCTATCTCACCTATCCTCTTCATGCTCTATATCCAGCCACTTTTTACCTCAGGGGTGGGCTCTTTCCTAGTGTTACAAAGGTTCGGCTATGCCGACGACATTGGATTACTTGCTTTTGGGCCTACTAAGGCAGGGAATATGAAGGTCCTCGCAAAACAGGTAGCTAGTAAATTAGAGTAGGGTACAGACGAGGGTATCACCTTTGACGTAGAGAAGCCTAAACTCATCCACTTTTCTCGTAAGAGAAAGCAAAAAGGGAGGGGCATCCGCCTTCCGCCTTCTATTATAGTAGGGAGCAGAACAATAGAGCTAACCCAAGAGCTTCGTTGGCTTGGCATCTTCTTTGACCCTCGTCTTACTTTCTACAACCATGTTAAAAGGATTACAAGTAAGGCTACGCTAGTAGCTAATGCTCTAAAAGGGACAACAAACACAATAAGAGGGTCTCCCTCCTACCTGCTAAAACAAGCGATTACCGCTTGTATTCTATCAATCGCCTACTTTGGAAGCGAAACATGGTTCCCTAGACGAGCAAGAGCCAAAGAGGGAGGGACTACAAACAACCGAATTGGCCGTCACCTGACTCTCCTAGACCGAGTAGTAGCTAAGTGTGCTAGGATTATCCTCCTAGTATACAAGACTACTCCTATCTCAGTTCTCCTCATGGAATCTGGCCTTCTAGCCCCTGAAATTGCCCTTGGAGCAAGAAGTAAAGCACTAGAAGCCAGGATCCGGCGGCTAGACCCTGCCCACCCGCTCAAACGATGTGTGAATAGCCCTAGCCCTAAGGCTAGGCTTATCTATCGCTCTTATAGAGCCCTCCCTCCCTCTGAAGAGATTAACCCAATACAAGACCCTCCGTGGGACAGGGGGTTCAACCGACAGGCCCGCCTTATGGAAGTAGCAGGACCTGACCCTGGTGGAGACAAGAGCTCTTTTAAGGCCAAATCCTTTGAATTCCTAGCTCTGGCTCCTTCTACTGATCTAGTAGTATTCACTAACGGCTCTCGCTTAGACGACAAGAGCACTGGCGGGGGTGTCTATCTTACAAGAGGAGGGGCTATTCTCAACACTAAGATCTTCTCCTTTGGCAAGGTGCTAGAGATATATGATGCAGAGGCTAGAGCTGCTCTACATGGCCTAGAACTAGCCCTAGACTCCCCTTTCTGGTCGTCGGCCAGAAAGTGCTGGATTTGCCTCGACAACCTCGAAGCTACCCCACAGCTGACCTACCGATCCTGCGGCACCTCGCAATAAACCTTCAACAAGGTCAACGAATTAGCTCAATTGTACCCTGGGAAAATACAGACAAGGTGGTGCCCTAGCCACATAGGGATCCTAGGCAATGAGATTGCAGATAAAGCTGCAGGGAGAGCAGCACGGTTACCCTCTCCTAAACCCTCCCCTTTACTCTGTACAGCCACGCTTAAGAGAAAGGTAAAGGAGACAGGGATTGCGCTTGCGAAGAAGCTCTAGAGCACGACACTTCCAGCTCTCTATAAGGACCTAGGGCTTTACACCTGGTCCTCAAAGCCTAAATCTCTCCAGCTACCTAGAGAGGTCCTCGCTCGCTTAATTGCTGCTCGTTCTGGACATGGAGACTTTACGGCTTACCATCTTCGCTACTTTCACTTCGACTCGCTACTTGAGTCAGGGAATTGTAAGTGTAAGAAGGCTAAGACCCAGTTCCACCTACTCTTCTGCAAGCTAGCAAACAACAAAGACCCTAAGCTTTTAGCTAAGGCCAAGAAGAACCCCCAGCTGCTCTTTGGACATCACTGCAAGAAGCTTTTTAGCCTGGTCTACTTTAAGACCGAATTCTACACCAAAATCTGTCTCTAGTTAGACACGCCTCCTTTTCTTTCCCTTCTCGTTTAATTATATATCTCCTTTGTCTTACCCTGGTTCTAAAACTAATTAAGGATAAGGGCTGTTCCGAAAGTGGAACTTCTCTTTAAATTGTCTCTTGTAAATTAGCTCATTCGTTTACACCCCCTGTAGCCTAGGGCACCCCCTAGCGTCATTTGCCCTATTTTGGGACTCTTCTAGGACCTAGCCCACGCGAGCTAGAATCCGCCTGACGTTAAATAGTAATAAATAATGAATAAATATAATAAAGGGTCTGAAAAGCTCGGGTCCCCCCCTCCCCGCTATGTCACTTTCTAATATACCTCTATATAAACCGGACAATCCAATTAGCTTAGAGGGTTATATCATATAGTTATATCCTGCCTATAATAAGTCGTGTATAGCAGAGGAGGCGACGCGAGCTGTCAAAACTCTTCGAGAAACTTATCCTTAAATGGGTAGTATATACCTAATACAGGGGTACTCGGCTAAGTCCATATATGCGGACCGACCGTCCGGAGTCGGGCTCGCTATACGGGGTATCGGACCGACACTACTCGAGTTACTCATAAGTTAATCGAGCACTTGGCGAGTTGAGCTGATTTTAGTGATTTCACTACTCGAGCTGAATTGGCGAGGCTGAGTATGTGTCAATACTCAACTCGACTACTGGGATTGTCTACGCTGAAAGAGTCTTCCCTCACTTCTTTCGTCATCGTACGTACCCCGTGACCCGCCCACTCTTCCACCATCCACCTCCAATAGTCAAGTATCATCTTGTGCTATTTTCCGGAGCATCACCAACATGTCTTCTGATATCAAGCGTAAAGTAGTTCTTATCACAGGCGCTGGTAGTGGAATTGGGTAAGTGCTTTCCCCACGACACCATGAATACCTTAAAATAACCACCAACTAGTCGCGCAACAGCTATCAAACTCCACGTATTAGGAGCAATCCTAGCTATCACCGATCGCGATATTTTTGGCACCCAAGAGACTTACCGTCTGTGTGGTGGAAAGCCTCATTACTGGGGTGTTCTAGACGTCACCAATAAAGATGATATCTCAATTCGAATTGCAGAAATTGTCAGTCGCTTCGAACATATCGATCATGTTTTCAATTGTGCGGGCATCAATCCAACCACGTACGCGCTTACAGATACAAGCGATGAGTACTTTGATAGTCTCATGAATGTCAATGTAAAAGGCGTTTACAATATCACAAAAGGTCCGTCTTCCAATTCCCCATAAGTAACGTTCCGCTAACCAGGCAAAGAAACAATTCTATATATGGCAAAGGGGGTTGGAAGCTACGTGAACGTCTCTTCCATTTGTGGACTTCGACCTAAAAACGGATTCGCTATTTACTGTGCGACGAAATATGCTATCATTGGATTCAGCAAAAGCATGGCTTTGGAACTTGGGCCAATGGGCATTCGTACTAATGTTGTGGCACCGGGATATATCGATACACCAACCAATGCAGCGGTGGTCGAAGGACAAGAAGCTGTCAAGGCTATGGTTGATGCGACGAGTTTGGGAAGGATGGGCACTGCGGAGGAAGTTGCTGATGTGGTGGTCTTTTTGATGAGTAAGGAGGCGAGGTATATGAATGGAAGTGTTGTGGAGATTGATGGAGGTATCAAGCTGATTTAGCTTTGTGAAAGTGTATTCGGGACTCTACTGGATGATCTGGGGGAACATGAAGTTTCACGATGGTTGGGTTTATCAGAGGGAAGAAGATTAATTATTTTACATACTCGGTCCCTTCCTTGGTACATTTCTTTTTCGCTACAAGTCGTCTAGTTGGGTTTTGTAGTTGAGATAGAGAGGAGAAGAATTGGGATTGGGAATTGACTTATGATGATAAGGGAGCGGAAAAAGTCTCTTGGTGTTGGTGGTATTAGTATTGTCATTCCATACCGTTGGAATTGCTGCAAGGCGTAAAAGAAATAGTCTCTGGCTACCAAGAACAGGAGAAAAAGTAGTTTATACAACCACGTTTTGGCTCTGAGGGACATAGATTAGTCTCACAAACCCCGTTTATACTTTCCGCTTGCAAATCTTCGACCGTAACAAGGGAATGAAAGCAGCGTTCGGCATTTTTAATTCCATTCTATTCCAAGACCCTATGGAATATTCCATTCTAAATAGTATAAGTGTTGAAATATTCCATTCCAAAGGGTGGAATATTTGGAATTCTAGTTGGAATACTCACGTGATCCCTAAAAAAAGTAGTTCCGGTCCGAGCGACCAATAGGAAGCCTAGCCTTAGCCTTAGTTAGCACCACATCAATATTTGAGAATCGCATCTACACTATTAACACTATACGCCCCTACACATCTTACTAGGACGCGCAACAAATACTCGCATTTGTACCTCCTATGCTAGCGGCACACGTACTTCCAGACTGCTAGTATACGTACTCCAAACCCACTCACATTCACCCTGCGCAAAAGAGACTCAAATACACGCATTTGCGCCTCCTATACTAGCGGCACACGTCCTCCTAGACTGCCGGTACAGGCATTCACCTTAGTTATATGCAGGAGACGACGATAATTAATTAAGTGTACGGAGGTAAAAGTCACAATTTCAGTCCTCACTTTATAACAAATAGAGCTCTCTTATTAGTTGAATAGTAATATATGTACCCTTTGGAATTCCAAATTCCAAGGCCTTATCCTTTGGAATATTCCACCTTAGAATAGAATCTTGGAATCCTTGGAATCGTATGCCAAGTGCCAAACGCTGAATGAAAGACGACCCTCGTTGGAATTATGAACTTCTCATCCGAACACCCCAGCAAACTTGACTGATATTCAAAGCCTCAATGCAGTCAGTAGTTTAATGGTTTGATAGGCTAGCTATTTTGACTCTTCATTTTTGAGAAATTGGTTTTGTGTGGCGAAACCCGTCTGACTCGATTCAATGTATAGTTATAGCATAACCCACCTTGCGAAATGCTCTGCCCCTTATCCTACAATCGTCGTCGTCTCACTCGGTTAATTCTCCTACGACCAACATCTCAGTCCCTATTTTCAAGGAAAATGTTGTGCTAGCCGTAGTGTCTCATCTTTGCAGAATGTCTTAACCAAATGTGTTACGACACGAGTTCACCTTGCCCATCGCTACATAGCGCTAGCATATTCCATGGAAGGCGCTAGTTCTTTCTGGAAGAATTCGAGCGAGTAAGATAGACCATATAATAGTGGTGTAATGCTCCCCTCTTTAGCTTGCTCATGATCCATTTACAGCTTATTTGGACAGTTCCTTCTTTGTCCTTAACAGAATGCTTCAGCAACTTGATCATGGAGACGGCTCTTGGAATTGCTGGCCTTGTAGTAGGACTACTGGCTTTATTGACCTTTTTCGAATTGGTCTGGAACTTCGTGGACGGTGGAACAGCATACCGCCCCGAGCGGACACGGAGCTGGAGCTTCGCCTCAAGCAGGCGAGTTCTTGCAAACGAGATGGAGTCCGCTGTTATTTCGAGAGATTCTGGTGAAAGCCCGCATGCGACCATGGACAAGATAATTGCTAAGAACAGGACGGCAATCCGCGCGACGATGGAGAAGTATCAATCACCAGAAAGTGTGAGGAGGGATTCACGCTTGTTGAGAGAGACCCGAAATGCATATCAGGAAACATCGGGATTTGTGACTTGGTCCCCTTTAGGCAACACTCTGCACGAGATTGTCGCTGCTATTAGAGGTCCACCAGAATCTCCATATTCAGATGGGATCTTTTATTTAAGACTCAGCTTTCCATCAGAGTATCCTTTTAGGCCCCCACGTGTCTGGTTCTCAACTGAGATATATCATCCAAATATTGATACCATGGGTTTGATTTGTCACGGGATGCCGGAAGGGGATGGGACCCATGCTTGACAATAAGCACACTTCTCAAAAGTATCTCTGTTCTCATGGAGAAACCAGAACCCGAAGATCCAGTTAGGTTGGATGTTTGTGCGCAATTCATAAATGATAGAGCAGCATTCGAAAGAATGGCAAGAGAATTGACTGATCGTTATGCGACTGGAGAGCTTGGGCTTCCTGGGATAAGGCAGGACGGTTATTGAGCTTGTAGAAAGAATTATGGCCTTTTATTTTAGCCAGAACATATCTACTTGATCTACAGTTATCCAATAAGCTGCTCCCCTGAACAACAACGCACATACACTTACACCTCAACCATAAGCTCTTTCCCTCCCTTAATCAAGTCTTTCCCCTCACCACCCATCAATAGAAAAGAATCACCCCACAAAACTGAAACCACTTCCCCAATCAGAAATGCACACCGTGAAGCCCAAAGCCTACATATAACCCATAAAAAAGCACGAGCTGTAAGGCAGAACGAATTAGAGTAACATACTTCCCCGAGCCCTGTGTCTTCCTGCAAAGTCTAGAGCTCTAGCGTAGCATGAGCCTTTGGAGACTCTAACACTCGCGGTGCAATATCCCATCGAAGGTTGCTCAGGAAGTGGTGATTTATCTGACCGAACAAGTAAGATTGCTGTTGGAATATATACGACCCCTTTTGTTTATGTCACATAATCCGACCCACCTGTTCGAATACTACTCCTTAGATAATTAGATAATAATTAACTGAATATTCTATAACGTGGTTTATCAGCGAGTCGATCATATCACCGAGTCGATCACTTTTCCTTGGCACTACCTCCTCAAACTTCAACACACGTTTTCTTCAACTATTTACCATGGAAATTCAAACTCAAGAAGCGCAAATTACTCTAGCTATCGAGGCTAGTCGGTCGTCCAAAAAACTAAGCAAACGCTCTGCGGCAAAGATCTACAATGTACCATATACGACTCTTTCCGACAGAATGGCTGGCCGAACCTACCGCCCAGATTCTCAAGCCAATTGTCATAAGTTGACTGAGTTAGAAGAGGAAGTGATTATTCGGTATATACTGGATATGGATTCCAGAGGATTTGCGCCCCGGCTCGCTGGTGTTGAAGATATGGCTAATTTTATCCTTGAATCGCGGGGGGGAAGACGCGTCGGCAAGCTCTGGGCCCATCGATTCGTACAACGACAACCAGACCTTAAGACGCGT